GAGAGAGAGAGAGAGAGAGAGAGAGAGAGAGAGAGAGAGAGCGCCCAGCTCTGCAGCTCTGTGATTGTATTATCCCAACCATTTGGTTAGTGTAATTGTATGTGTAAAGCTGACAAATGTAATTTCCCTGGACTTAATACTTGCCCAGTTTTCTCTTTCAGCTTCTTCATCTGATTAGCTAAAGTGACTCAGAAGCTTCCGAGAACACGGTGTGAAGCACCGGGACAGGCTTCTCCCTGCCTGGAGGCTCTGGCCGCTCACCTCTGCTCCATGGGCTGGGAGGTGAGGGAACCCCAAGACCTAGGGAGTCATCAGAGGGGAGGACTGGTTTGGAGGTCATGAAGAGCGTCTAGGGAAGTTTTGAGGCTTCGTGAGTAACTGTTATCAAAAGGCCCGACGTGGCCTTTGCGTTTCTGGGAGTTGCTCTAACGCCTGCCTGGAGGAGAGCTGAAATGCCACTGGCCACACTTGTTCTGGCCAAGCAGAAACTGACAGCGCCGAACTTTGGAAAGAAAATCTTATTATCTCGTTTCCTCGATTCTTTGCCAAAGAGTTGGGAGCTGATTTGTTTATTGTTCATGCAGGGGCTCTTGTCTGGGACTCCTACCTCTTTTCCATTTTTAGTGTTTATCTTTGCTTAGAGACTTTGATACCTGGAAGAAGCTTAGTTGAGTGAAAAAATGGACTTTGGATTGACATCCTGGTCCCACTCCCCACCAGTAGTGGGACTCTTAAATTCTTACGTATCAATTTCCTCCTCCCTATCATGGTAAAAGCAGCACCTGAACATGGACCAATGTGAAAATGAGCTGATGTGTGAAACCACCAAACGCAGATCATGCTCGGCGACTGTGTCTTTCCTTTCCCTCCCCTCCGTCCTTCTGCAGGGACCCTCCCATGCAGAGGCTCTGAGCATGGGTTAAACTTGACCTTGTAGAGATGCCCTGCTGGTTCACAGGCCTCTCTCCTCCCCTATATCAGAAGCTCAAGGACAGTGAGTCCTGGGTCGGTCCTTGGCTCTGCTGCAGCCACTCACAGTGTTGGGCACTGGGGACATGCCAGGTACATGTTTGCTGGTGATTATTACTGAGTGGGTGTGGCCATGGCCTTGGCCTGGATCTCGCTTCCTTCAAGACCTCTCCTCTGCCTTCTTTTGCTGCAGGCACATTGCCCTGCTGAAATCATTCATCTACTTGTGCTCTCCTCTTCCAGACTGGGAGTTCTTTGAGCTCCTGCCTCGGGTCTTGTTCTGTTCAGCATCTCTGTGTGCGGAACTGGCCACAGAGGAAGTGTGCAAGGATGGTGGGTGGGTCTAGATGAAAGCCTGGCAAGGCTGGGGTCCAAGGTGTGGCCTGTTCTCCCTGACCATGGGCTGAGTCCAGGGGGCTCAGTGGATGTTTCTGTGGGTGGTGGGGAAAGGTGGCCTTGGCACCTGGTAAATCCTACCATAGAAAACAGAGACATCCCACCACACACTCGTAGGGATCTGCAGCAAGGCGGGAGATCTAAGCCATGGTGGCCGGATGTCTCCTGCCACTGGAACACGGCAGGGGAAGGTTGTTGTGGGCCCGGCTCTACCTCTCCCTCATCCAAGCTGCTCCCTGATGCAGCAGTGGGTTCCTGGGGATGCAGTCACCCTTTATTTGGTTCCTGACATCTTCCTGAGGAGCCCCAGGTGGCTGGTGTGGCTGCTAGGGCTGCCCAGGGATATATTTGGCTTAATGTCTTCTTCCCTTTGAGTTGGGGTCAATCTGGAAGGGAGATAGAACACTGACCCATGCCCACTTGCCTAAGTTCTGCCCCAAGGCTGGGGTCAGGGTTCAAGTGGAAAGGTCACATAGCAGGGGAGGCTTGTGTTCCAGCCATGGTCACCTCCAGCTCTCAGGCATCCCTGGTGTTTGGTTTTATTTGGAGGTGGTGGGGGAGGCCTCACTGCTTTTAAGCCACCCCATGGTTTCATTAGTCTGAGCGGCTGTTGGGCAGGCCCTTATTGATTAGCCTTGTAGGGACAGTGGGAGTTATGTGGCAATAAACCCACACTGGAGTCAGGCAGGGTGGGTGGCTGTTTCCTAATGCTGCCTGCAGGGGAGCCGGCGCTGACATCTGAGAACCGAGCTCAAGCATCCAGCCGCCCGCCAACCGATAGATGTTTCTGGAGTCTCTGCTATATAATCAGTGCTGGTGGTTAGGCTGGGGCAGGGGGCTTGTGGCCATATTTACTCAGTGCACTAAATGGGGAAGTCTGGCTTCTTTCCTGAATTTATAGATTTATAAATTTCCTGAATTTACCGCAGGGAGGTAGAGTCGTTTGACCAAGGGCCAAGGAGTAAACGGAGGTGAATCACTGGGGTTGGGTGGCAGGGAGGGGTGTTGAGTGAGTAAGTTAGAGGGCTGCCTCCCTCAGGTTAGACGTCTCATGAGCCATGAGACCAGGTGGGGAAATAGAAGGCCGCAGTGTCGTAGGTGGGTTGCCCTGTGTGTGGAAAGATGGAAAGGTTTGTTGAGGTTCAAGGTAAAGGTAAAGGGAGGAAAGGGGAACAAGAATGATAGGAAAAGCAACTCTGTGCCCTGGTGCAGCCGGATTCCATCAGGCAGGAATCAGGAAGGGGAGAGAGTCCTGGGGCAGCTTTTTAGGGAATAGAAAGAATAGGATTTCTTCAAAGATAAAGCAAAACTAACATTTAGTTAATTAGTTGAGAGCCAATGAATTTAGTGGCAAAGGTATAAGACTCTACTTTTTTTTTTGGTACTTTGCACTAAACAAGGATTTTACACTATAAGTAGAAATTAGAAATTTATAATTTATCTTTTGTTACTTTAATAAAGACTTATCTTTTACAGGAAAAAGAGTATGAGTGCCTCTGCTGTACACGCCCTTCTCCAGGATACTCACATCAGGTGCCTCGCATGCCCGGGCACCAATGCCCACTTGGGAAGCCCATTGGCTTGCTGTGTGCGGCCCGGGCAGCCTTAATCAGCTTCTCTGGGGCTAGGCTCACAGACTCTGATCTAATAGCTGCCAGGACCATCACCCTGGGGTTGGAGACTGGTTCCAAGAGGCTTCTCTTTGATATAAAGAGTGGCTGAGAAGTCATGTTTTGGGGCAGAGGCTGAAGAGGCCTGTGTCTGGAGCAGAAATAGCCCCCAGGAGAAGTCTTGCAGCCTGGGGTGCTGGGAAGAATGGCTTTGGAGGGGATCTGAGCTGTGGGGGAAGTGCTATTGAGGCTTTACCCATGGTGGGGTAGCCTGCCTTTGTGTAACAGATAAATAACCTTGGCCTTGGGCCCAACCCTCTTTATGAGGAGAAGAAATCTGACAGTAAGATTTACTCTGTTTAGTAAATGGGGAGTGGTTTCAAGGAATGGAGTTGAGGAAAGAATACCATCTTGGTTCTCCCATCTGTGCGGGGCCTGGGTATCCCCCAGGATAGAGGACAGTGGCTCCTTTGCACGATGTCCAGTGGCTTCCTCTGTTCAGGCAACATGAGAACCAAACAGCTTCCTCTTGGAGCCCCATAGTCAGACTGTAGGTGATGCTCCTTCTGAAGGTTGATTGTTTAATTCTTTAAATACAGCTCCCACCCCAGTCACAACACATAGCTTTCTTTTGCTTTTTGCAAAAAGAAATTACTTTGCTCAAATCTTTGAGCTGAACTCTTCTTACCTGTAGGGTCAAAGATGGGGGTCTGTCTTGGCATATTTTCCCAGGGTTTGGGCTCCTTGTTTGGGTTTCTCTCAAACAGATTTCTTGATTTGGGTGCTGCATTCTGTGGCACCTTGTCCTCCCCGCTGACTGCAATAGAGAAGGCCCCACAGGCTGAGTTAGGTGAGGCTCAATATCAGGGTGAGAGATGAGTTTTCACTGAGGAAGGTGGGAGAAACGATTGGGCTCAGGTTAAGGAGGGACAGTGAGGCCATGAATCATTGGAGTTGGGGAGACAAAGTGACAGGGACAGGGTGAACTCACTGGTGAGGTAGCAGTCCAGGCTGATGGAGATATTGTCAAAAGCTACAGTGGCTCTGGATCCTTGCCCCCACCACGCGACCATCTGCAGCCAGAACCTGTATATATCAAGAGGAATGTGTGTTAGGAGCAACCCGGGTTGGGCATGTCCTGGGGTTCAGTGTCCAGCAAATGTGTGCTGATCACCTGGCTAAGAACATTAGTTTGTATCATCCTTACCTAATCCCAAAGCAGTGGCAAGTGGAGAGCAAACATCTCCCTCTGCTTCTCCAACACAGAGCACTTCCCCTTCTGGAGTAGTGCTCCATAATGATGATGGCTGACACCTGGCTCTTATATCTATTTTGGGGTTTGGGGCCTGAGACCAGGACTCCCTGATCATCTGATGAGAATCTTCTGCTTTTTGGGTGTGCAGGCTGGGTGGGAATGGGTAGGCTTCATATTCAGTGGGTGCTCACTTGTGGGGCTGAAGTCATTATTAAAATACTGAAATGCTTCTGTACCAACTGATAAAGACCTGCTCTCTCCTGAGTGCCCGCTGCTTGTTTCTTCAAGCAACCCTCTCCTTCGCTGGTGCCTGCCAGATCTCCCCATTAACCAGCAAACAAAGGGCTAATCCTTTGCACAGTAGGGGTCTTAAGCATCTTGGGTCTTATCCAGCATCAGTTTGTTAAATGTGGAATGATTTGACTATTACCCCTGGGAGTTTTTGTAACCAACAGAGTGGGTCAAACAGTAAACCCATCGAGATATCGTTTCTTTCCAGTTCTTTCTTAGCTTTGAAGGGCCAGCTCCTTGGCCAGGGAAGGCTTTAGAGTGAGATAAATAGAAAAATTACTTTGGTTCATTTGTTTCCTGGGAAATAATCGTCCTGGAAGGCTATCAGTCAACCAGCCCTTTCCTGCTATAAAGTGAGGGTTTCCTGAGAACCTTAAAAACCTCTCCCACCCTTCAGGAAATTGATCCAGAATGACCTGCAGAACAGAAGGCTATCAGTCAACCAGCCCTTTCCTGCTATAAAGTGAGGGTTTCTTGAGAACCTTAAAAACCTCTCCCACCCTTCAGGAAATTGATCCAGAATGACCTGCAGAACAGTGTGCAGTCTCTGGCATGGATGTTACAATATCAAGAAAGGAAAGCCAAGCCTACCAATCGGTAACTGTGTAACCGCATGTGGTACAGCCATACCGTGGGATGCTACTCTGCAGTGAAAGAGAATGGGCCAGGAGACATGCTGTAAGATAGACGGACCTCAAAAACATTATGCTAAGTTAAAGAAGCCAGACAATAAGTTAAAGACCTCATATTGAATGATTCTGTTGATAGAAAATATCTGGAATAGGCAAATCTATGGAGACAGAAAAGCAGATTAGTGGTTGCCTGGGGCTGGGAGCAGGAACAGTATCGACTGCCCTCCAGCACAAGGGCTCTTTTTGGGATGATGGAAATGTTCTAAATCTGGATTGTGGTGCTCTTCGTACAACTATAAATGTGCTAAAAGGCATTGACGTGTATACTTAGGACAGGTGGATTTTATGGTTTGTAAATTATAGCTTATAAAGCTGTTAGATGAAAAGAGAGAGAGAGGCCATCAGGCAGCAGGGCATAGGTGGCATGGGGTGGCAAGGACAGAAAACCCGAGCAATAGTGGGACTGACAGTGTGGAGAAAGTGGAAAGATACAGGAACAATGAGAAACAGGATGTCAACAGAGGAAGGAAGGACACAGAGGAAGAAACGTGCGGGAAAAGAATGTTTGTGCACACGGATTTGCAGCGAGCAGCGAAGCTCTAGCAGCTAGTGAGCCACAGCAGAAGCCCCTGCTATGCCCCTGAGCAGGCGACCTCTGGTCACCATGTAGGAGGGAGAGACGCCGGCTTGGTTATTTCTGGGCAGAGAACAATTACGGCCACTTGTGCAGGGAAGCCTTGAAATCAAAAGTAAACTTTTATCTAAACAGCATGGATGTGATTGATTATTCTTAACTGAACCGCTCCATAGATCTGTCTGTACCTTCACCCACCTTGTGAAATCTGACCATTCGCAAATAATCCTTTTTTTCCCCCCTTTTTGTCTTTTTTACTGACCGGTAACACACTCACAACAATCAGGGCAGACTCAATCAGATGGTGACATGTAAACATACGACGCTGCCTTGTCCACCCCTGGGCCATGCTGCCAACTCCAGAGGCTCAGGGAAGGGACAGGTGGGACAAAGGTGGGATGAGAGTGGGCCAGGGCAGGGTGTGGGGAGGGCAGGGTCGAAGTGGAGGCAGCCTGGGAATGGGGTCTGAGGATGGTAGGTAAATGGGGCAGAGGGCAGAAAGGCCAATCTAGGAGTTTCTTTTCTGTGGGGCCACCGGCCAAGAGGCCAGGTGGGCATTAGGCCCTCCCAGATTCAGGCTTCTCTCCTTTGAATGGCACCTGGTGTCTTTATCTGAACCTTAGGTGAAGAGCTTGCTCCTGGCTCTACTCACCCTCTCCCTGCTGGAGACGAGCACGACTTCCTCAAGTCTCTCAGTCTTTCTGGCCCAACCACTCTTTCCTGTTGAGTTTCCCAAAAGTGAAGATACCAAGGCACTCTTCAGATTTAGTCATGACCTCAGGTCTCGAGTCCTACCATTTACCAGGTGGAGCAGTCGGGGACTAAGGGGAAGTTCTAGCATTTACTAGGTGGACAATTCTGGGATTCAGGAAAGTTCTAGCTTGTATCCGGTGGACCACTTTGGGACTGAAGAAAATTCTAGCACGTACCAGGTGGGCCACTCTGGGTCTGAGGGAAAGTTCTAGCAAGTACCAGGTGGGCCACTCTAGGACTGAGGAAAGTTCTAGCAAGTACCAGGTGGACTACTCTGGGACTGAGGAAAGTTCTAGCAAGTACCAGCTGGGCCACTCTGGGTCTGAGGGAAAGTTCAGTCGGGTACCAGATGCACCCCTCTGGGTTTGGGGGGAAAGCTAGGTCCACAACACATCACTGCCAAGATTCCAGGGGCCAGGTAGTTCTAAAGAGTATATAGGGTACTCCGCTGCCCCCACCCCAAAGTCTCTGCTCTGGATGGGGAAAGGAAGCTGAGTCTCCATGGCTGGAAGAGCCTTCCCCTCCCTGTCCGTGGGCAGCCTGGTCAGGGAGGAGGAGGAGTTAGCTCTTTGGGGTTCTTCCTGCTCTCTCACCAATCTGTGTTATCTAAGAATGTGGCAGAGCAGCCTCTTCTCTTTTCTGAGCAGCAGAGATTGTGCCACTTAATAGTTTATATCTGCTCAGCTCTTTCTGTTTCTCCAAAGAAGGCACTTTGGATTGCCTGGTGGTTGTTCCTTTTTCTCTTTTTTCCAGGCTGTGGGGTTTGGAGCTTGTTGCTAAACAGACTTGGCTGGGGATTTTGGCTAGAGCCTGGCTTTGCATAAAGAATGCGTACACCCTGGCTCATATTGCTTAGCTTTGCAGAGAGCCTGTTGAAAACTGGCCCAGGGGCAATCTGGGAGGTGGCCAATCGGGCAGTGGGCCAGGTTTACAGGGCAGCTTTGGAACTGGGTGCCTCCTCCCAGACTCACCGGGCAGATCTCTGCATCAGAAAATGCTGATGCTACTCACGCACAGCTCGGAAAATGCACAACCTCATTCAGGCAGCAGACTGTTAATGGGCAGTGAGTATAATGCCTTATTTGCCACCATGCCAGCCTTGGGGATTGACAAACCTAATTAAGTTCACTTAATGATTTTAAGTAGCTGACAAAAAGGTGTGTGTTTGAATGTGGACCAAGGGAATAGCAACGTTTTGGAGAGAGAGCAGGAAAGAATGGCGGGACTGGGGAAAAGGCATTTAATGGATGGGCACCATGTCTCAGGTTCCTCAGTCAGCCGTTTGGAGAGCTCGGAAGGAGGGAGTGTTCTGCATCCCTTTTCGCAGCTGTGGCTTGTCTGGGCTCTGGCTGCTTTGGATGAAGCTGGCAGATACTGCTGAGGAAAAATACTTCCTCCAATTTCTCACTGTGCAGTTGATTTGCTCTGCAAAAGTCTTCTGAAATGGATTGTCACAAAGCTTGGGTCGCGGTATGCATTTCTATTAAAATAATGTGTATGTGATAAAAAAAAAAAGCCCTGCCACAGCCTTCCTATTACCCATGTAATTTACTTCAGTTACCGCTTGAAGGGGACAGGGCTGATGGACAGCTTTGGATGCCTGGGACAAGCCCTAGTTGGGCTACGTGTGGCCAGGGAAGGACATGTGTACCGTGACTCTAGGAGACTTTGGTTCCTGCACAGGAAAGTGGGGACAGGCTGGATATCCAAAGCCTGACTCAATAGTTGGGGGCATCCCCCTGCCCCGCTCAGTCCTGCCCTCAAAAGCCATTTATCACCTCCTGACTTGGTTTCCTGCATGGGCATAATGTCACTAAGTACAGTGAAGAAAAGGCAAGCCTTTCCAGGACTGTCAAGGGCTGCAGAGATCTTTCATAATGAGTCTGGCTTTGTGAGGGATCCCTTCTGGAAATAAGAGAGAAAATGAATTTTTAGTCAGACTGAGCAAGCAAAGAGAATCACTTGGACCCTTCATCACTCTAAGGTCAAGGCTTCCAGGCATTGGCTTTCTGGGCTCACTTTTGGGGGCTGAGACTAAAGGATCCTGGCTCCCTCATGTGCCCTGGCATGTCACCAGTTGGAGAGGCCTGCCACAAGGATGTCCCACCAGACTGCAGGGCAGGTAGAAGCCCATCTCCAGCAAGTCCCGCTTTTGCTCTTTCATTCTCTCAATATGCCTCATGTTTATTGAGCTCTTGCTGGGCCACAGGCTTTGAGGCAGAAAGGCAAAAAGGGATCTCACTTTCTAGAGCCCTGGCCCAGCAGGGGAGGTGCCTGTGCACAAGAATACCTGACCCACAGGCTTGAATGTGCCAAGTGCCCTGAGGGAGGAAGAGATGGAGGGAGAGATAGAGGGTGAGGAGAGAGAAAAAGAGAGGGAGAGCTCCAAAGAGTGGCATGATCTCTCGGGAGCATCGTTTGATGTGCCCAGTCACATATGGAGACCGTAGCAGAGTCAAGAACTCAGGCCTCTCGCCTCCCAGGCCACTTTTTCTGCCACCCCTTGCAGAACCATCTGACT